TCCCTATTTGGCAATTTATGCTTATTATTAACTTTCCGAAGCATTTCATCGATTACTACGACTCTCTCGTTCTTGTTGTTGCTTTTCTTTCTGTTACTTCAAAAGTAGTTCGAATGAAAAAGATATATATAGTGTATTTGGAAAAATCGAGTTAGTATATTGAATTAATTATGTGATGATATGTCATGACACGTGGGTCAGTAAAAGAATGACAGTTGGCAGAGAATAGTTGAAGAGGCACGAGCTTTAACAGATGATCGCGCCCAACTAGGCCCTATAAAAAGGACAATGCGGACGTTGCAAATATAACCTGAGTATTGTGCCCAGAGTCGAATCCACAGAGAATTAACCTATCAATCACTATCTTTAGACCTACTAAACTCTTTAGAATCAATTCCCCAAACGTTGAGAATCACAGTTGATGGTGTTTTTAATAACTAAGATCAACAGTAACTAATGAGAAAGTACTAAGGTAATGATTTCCCCTATTGATGGAATTCCTTCTGTTTATGCTTCATACAAATTTACCAACACATCTCTATCAATCATGAACGCTCTTCTTACCGTAAATCTCTCCCGAGTAATCACAGTAATTTACTAGTTGCACTCTCCCGAGATACACCAGCTTGCTTTATTTAACACAATTCACTTTAGATTACACCCAAGGCTTCGTTATCCCTAATCCCGCCTTTTAACCCTCGGTTATTGATCCCTCATATACTTTGGGAGTGGTGTTGTTCAACAATTACCTAAATATGCACTCTCTCCCGAGTTATGCACACTAAATAGGCACAGCTAATTGAGGATCCTGTCAATTAACTACAACAAACACATAGTTGAACAAATAGAGATTGGAACTAGCAATTTGTATTCACATAAACAAGAAGTTCATCCCCCAATAGGTTCCATCAAAACCTTAGACAAAGGATTTAGCTACTCATAACTATGGGCAAACCAACTAAAACAATATTCATCATAAAACTTGCAAGAAAAATCAAAGAAAAGAAGAAAGATGTTTTGGGTGATCTCTCACAATTGTTTTCCTTGCTAAAATATTCTCCAATACAATTCTTGCCTCCTTTGGGCGAAGTCTAGTATTTAAAATAGGGTTTTGGGCTAAAAATCCCGTGCTTTGCACTTAAGTCCCTGAACTCTTCCGCCTCAGCCGCGGTTCTGCCGCGATCGCGGTCAAACCGCGGCCACACACCTTCTCTGAATCTCAACTTATCCGCGACCATCTTCTACCGCGGTTAACCGCGGCAGTCCTTCTTCAGGCATGGCTTGAGCTGCTTCGCTTGGTTCATTTGGCAAAATTTTACGATTGGCCTCTTTTCTCCATATTTGATCCCAAAAGTACTCCATAGCCTTCTCTTGTCATATATCACCTGCAAAGCATGAAAAGCACTAATCAGAGCATTTTGTTATCACTTTTATCATCAAAACTATACAAGAAGGTGGTTCTTTAGGGCCTAATTATAGTTAAATTCACCTATTATCACCACCCTTGATTAGTATATTGATATGATCAATCTAATACCGGCTTAGTATTGAACCTATGGGGTCGAACACTAACGAGTGTTCTGATCTTTGCTAAAGGATTAATTACTTTATTATTTAAAAATTAAATTAAAGAATTTAATTAGTCAAATAAATTTAGTGATTGGTCCAAATGAAATATTATTATATTCTTTGCTAGCACGGAGGATATAATTAATATTGTAAGCAAAATAGTAAAAATATAATTAATATTGTAAGCAAATTGGATTTTACTATTTAGAATAGTATATTGAATTATATCTCTTGGTTAACTGTTATCTAAGATAATTATCAATACATATATACTATGTATATATGTTGGACGTGGGCTTACTAGGTGAATTCACCGTATAGCCTTTTCCTTAACCTAAAAAGAAAGAAGGCTATGGTTAATGATATATATGGATATCATTTAACTAGAAGCAAAAGAGATTGTTTTAAAAAAAAGCCAAAAGACCGAGAGAAACGTTCTTGACAAGAAAAATAGTTTTTTGTCCGGTTACTACTATACTGAAGGTTTTTTTGACAGCGTATTATTCATTCAATTTGTTCACGATCTCATTGATCAAAGGGTTGGTAGTAACATCGGTCTCGGTGTGAATACGCATAGAGTCTTCGCACTATCGAAGAAAAATTCTGAAATGAGGCTCTCTTCACCAGGTACGTCTTAGATCCGATCTTTGACAAGTAAATAAATTTTAAACACGAAAAGATTTTTCTAGAATTGTTAATGTCTTCCGCTGCGTATTACGAACACCTACGTGCAATCCTAACATGCACGGGGAAGGAAGAAGAACGAGGGAACCCACTGCTGCGCTCCTTTTGTTTTATACTACTAATTAATATTATAGGTACATAAGATTATGAATACTTACATTTTATTCATTTTGAGTTTTCCTTAGTATAATATCTTAATCTTTTTTCCTTAATATTTAGTTCAGTTGTTGTTCATGTTGTTCCTCAGGTACAAAATACATATGCCTTATGGCATAGATATTTATAAAAGATCTGAATATTGTAAAATCTTCACTAATTTAATGGTGTTCACTTGTGTTTTCTACGATCAGGCGACATAATCCAAATAAGAAAATTATGTAAGTACTTTCTCTTAAGCAAGTTGTAAGTTCTTATTTCTCTTTTATTTTCCTCTTTATTTAGTTACCGTTGTGATAATCATTTTGCTAATATATATAATACAACATATCGTTCTTTACTTTATGCTTATGAGGTTGTAATTTTTGAGATCTTGATCTACTTTATTTTTTGTTTCAGTTTGATTCGCTCAGAGAGAGAGGGGGGATCTAGGCTTATCGTATGTTTTTATCTACTTTTTCTTATGCATGTTGTATCTTCTTATTTCTCTTTAATTTTTTATTTATTTGCAGTTAATCTTTCAAATTGAATCATGTAAGTTGTGATATTAGTTTTTTCGATATAACACAATATATCTTCCAATTTAAGTAAATGATAATGCAAATTATTATTCATTTTCTTAATTAATTACTTAATTTTCTTTCTTTACATCAAGAAAAATTTTAATTATGCGCTTGCAATCCGAACCCTTCATTTCCACCAATGAGGTTCTTGACTATTGACAACAAGTATTAAATATTGAAAAAGAATGCAACAGACATCTATCTATATAGAATAGGAGAAGCAAAACCACTACATTAAGATAAGTGTCTTAACCACAAAAAGCCAAGTGGCATTGTTAAGACAAAATAAACTACTTTTCTAACTAACTTTTTATTGAATTTTAAATTTTGAATTAATTGGTTACACTACTTGAATTAATAAATATAGATATTATAATTATCAATACTCAATAAAAAATAAAAATACAAAAAAATATTCTACTCATTCAAATAGGAGTTTTAAAATTATTTTAAAATAAAAAACAAAAATAACAAAAAATAAATAATAGGAATTTCAATAAAACATATTGTACAGATAAGGCTGTCTAACTGAAATCATAATAGATATTGAATAAAAATAACATTAATATAAATTTATATGTAGATAATATCAATAGTTAAAGCTAAAATTTAATATATCATATTGAAAACAAAATAAAAGTAGTTCAAAATTATTATTTGAATTATAGGTAAAACACTAAATAAAATATTAATTAAAAATTATAGTAGAAAAATGCAGAGCAGAGGATGATAGAGATTGTTTGAGTATATTTATGATTTTGATTAATTTGTAAAATAAATATAGTAAATAATTAAATAATGCTAAAAATTATGGTTAACAAATTTAGACAATGAACTAAGCATTTATATTGGTTTGTCTTTTAAAAGTACTATATTAATTATTATAACATATAAATTATTTTATAACAAGCAAAATCTTAAAATTGACCGCGCATCGTGCGAGTACCTACACTAGTTTTTCTTAAAATGAAAGAATGATGATAATAAGTAATAGTTATAAGTATACATCATAAAATTGAAGATTCTGTATTTGAAATGTACATAATAAGAACAACTATGAGAAGGCAACTCCAAGAAAAAGATTTATATTAGTGATATAACTTTAGTTTTAAACACATGTACATTATATTTTTTAATCTCTTCTATCTCAACCAAACTTGCAAATTAGTTTTATAATTATAAGTATAAGACATTGAAGGTTCTATATTTGACATGTTCATAAAAAGAACAACCATGAGAAAAAAAAATCTGATGAAGAGATTTAAAATTGTGGCATAAAACTAATTTTATAATCATATACAAAAAGAAATTAATCTCTTCTAACTCAACTAGAAAAAAAATAATTTTATGTTTTCATTATTCTCTTTTTTTACCGCAGCGAAGCGCAAATATATTCACTAGTTTATGTATGACTGCTGATCTGACATGACTCTTTCTTGTGTATGTCCATCTACATTGTTGTATACATCCCTCTTTCTTGTGTATGTCCATATACATTGTTGTATACATCCCGTTGCTGAAAAGTGAAAAGTTATATCATATAGTTAGGTAATTTTTTTTTTTTTTAAATTTATATCTTACTTGTCTGTTTAATTTTTGGTATTTTGATACCCCCTAATAAAATTCTTGGCTCCACTACTACTTGTATATCTTTACATGTGAATATGTAATTATATTGAAGACGGTATCCATTACCAACAGTAGCTATTGCATCATAAAGAAAAATGGATTACTTCAAATCTGCATATTTTTTCATAGTTTAATATGCTGTAACCTTTACCTTTAAAGGGAAGATGAATATTAGCATGAGAGTTTGCTTTGCAATATATAGATAAGTGCATAAAAAATTCTTATCTAGTTTTTGAAATCTAGAGAAAAATTAAATCATTGACTAAAAGATATACCAAATCAACTCGAATTTATTACGTTTGTAAGATTTTAAAATTATTCAGAGCATTAAAACAAAAGTGATTTACTTTATTTTATCATTGATTTCTATATAAGCGTATACACGATAGAGTGAAGTAAACGAAAGCAAATAAAGGACATGAAGTTAATCCTTTCATATAGTTTCCCATTATAGAGAAAAACTTGAAAATTCTTTCCAAAGGTAGATTCCTTTACAATGATCTTCAACTATAATTGTGATAGTAAGGTCTCAATATTCTAACTTTTATATGCATACATAATAATAGATTCAGTTGAACCCACCGAATTCGCCCTAGATCCGTCTCGATCGTCATCCCACTATTGGCTCTTCCACATAAATGTCAACATCATTGAATTTAAGCCATTTCTTGGACCTACAAATCTTGATCAAAAAGTACCATCCAATCGCTCCAACAGTCATCAATCCACTTATCAAAAACACAATCTTGGTTGCAATAGCCATTATAAACACCAAAAACACACATGGAATTAAGCACATAATCACCAATCCTGGCAACTTCATTGGCACCCTATATGGTCTTTTGATCAATGGAAACTTCCTTCTCAACCAAATAAAAGATGAAAATTCCAAAAACATACCTAAACTATACAAGAAATTAGCTGAAGAGATTATATCAGTAAAATTCATATAAGACATACCAAGTGAAATTGCTGTTGACAATAATATCCCTACCCATGGTGTATTAAACCATTTAGACCTCAAACCAAAGAATTTAGGCAAAAATGCCAATTCAGCCATACCCAAAAGCTGAAAAGCAGAACTACTTAACTGAGCCTCAAATAGTCCAATTGCTGATAAAACAGCACCAATTTCAATCCAAAATTTCAACCATTTCCCACAAATAATCTCAGCAGCATTAGCCATAAAACCTGTTTCCCACTCACGTTGATCAACTGACACAGCTCCAGTCACAGCCAATAATGGAATTATATATCCCAAACAAGTGAAAATCACTGCTGAAAATAATGCTAAAGGAAAAGTCTTTTGTGGGGATTCAACTTCTCCTGCCAAAGTACTAACATTATCCCAAAAATTCAAGTTCCAAAACAATGTATTAAAGAACAAATTCCAATCTTTTTTCACACCCTTTTGGCCTAAACTAATCCATCTATGAGGCTGAATCTTTGGAATTGCAATCAATGACATTATCAAAAAAGGTGCAAGTGAAACAACACCAAGTACAACTGCTGCATACCCCACAATTGTCAAACCAGTATAGTTTAAAAAAGAAAGCAACAATGTAGCAACCAAGATTGCCATAAATCTTGGAACCCCAGATGAGAAAATAGGAAAAAGCTTCTCCATATAACTAATACAAAGAACAGGAAAAGAAGCAATATTAATTACCCCACTCAAGAATTTCCATGTACCCATTAATGAACCCCAAAAGGGACCAAAAGCTTTATCAGCCCATATAACAAAACCACCATTTCCAGGAAAAGTTGTGGATAATTCAGCAGTGATTAATGCTTCAGGTACACTCCAAATAAAAGGGAAAATCAAAAAACCAAGAATTGCAAATAAAGGACCAGCAGATTGAACTGCTGGTTCTTCACCATAAGGACCACCTGCTACTTCAAAATATATGAGAAAAATAAGAGGGATAAGAGTCAGTTTTTTGTTCTTAGAAGTTGCAGTGGATGTAGTTATGGGGAGTTTTGGTGAGTTTTCTGGCATGGTGGAAAGTGGAGGATCAATTTCTTGTGTCATTTTGATTTTTGCAAATATTGTGTTTGATGAAAGATTGACCAAAGTGGTTGTTTTTGATGAGGATTCTTGCATTAAATGTTAAGACTATAATAAGAAGATTCTTACGAAATCATTCGTCCTTATCTATATCATTTAACCTAGAAATTTTAGTTGGCGTTTGGACTTAAGAATTATGAAATTCTAGAAAAAAAGTGAATTTTTTGTTCAAGTGAAAAATAAAAACGATATTTGATAATCAGAGTTGTATTTGGACATACATACAATCTGAAACTATTTTTGATTTTTTATGAGTAATTTGAAGTAAAAATTTTGAAAAATAGGTTTTTGATTTTTTTTTTTAATTTTTTAAAAAATTTCGGAATTCAATTTTAAGTAAATTTGATACTTTTATGACCAATACTGATTTCAGAAAAAAATAAAAAAATTTCAAAAAAAAAAGTAATTTTTTTGGTGGCCAAACAGGTCTATAGTTCAAAATATTTGTCACTTTAAGAATTTTTTTTCTTTTCTAATTCTAGCTATTCTGACAAGGCAAGTATTTCTTCTTGATCATTTTAGTTGTCCAATGGTTAATACAAAATAACTTATCCAAAATACTTATTATTTTTTAAAGCAAAAAATATTAGTTATATAGCATAAATCCTGAATGTGAAAAGTAAATGGGAGTATAGTAATCAAAAATCACTTTTACAAGTTATCTTGACAAAAATGGATTGGAGGGATTAATTGTTTTTTAATCATTTAAGTAAGAGAGAAGGTTAGTTGAATCTAATACTCTTTGTAATTAATGTTATATAAAGAAATTTTATCAATGTGTGTCAAAAATAATGATTTGTGCCTACCATTTTCGAAATTTGAATTTTAAAATAATATTCAGATTTCAGATAGATAACAGATCAAAATCAGATTAGACTGAAATAAATAACGGAATTTAACTTTAAGTATCACTAAGGAAAATTAAGGGAGTAAAAATGTCACTATTTGTCTATGTAAATAAAAAAAGAAAAACAAGAAGAAGAGATAGAACTTGTACGTTCACATAATTGTCTATATGTAGAAAAACTTAACAACGTCAATCTTATTTTTTGCTTTGAAAAATAATGCAGAAATGCAGAAGAAAGAGGGGAGAGTTTGCATAAAAGTTTGAGAAATTCGCAAGATAATAATGTAACTTCTTGGGCACTAATATTTTGTGACTTTTAGGCGTTTGTTTCAAATAATTTGTTTTTGAGCTTTTGTGCAACTCTGTTTGTTTGAGTTGCTTTTGCAAAATTTAAGATTTTGTAACTCAATCTTTTATTGTAGGAAAAAAAACTCAATTTCAAATTTTAATAGTCCAAAACTAGTTTTTTGAGTTTTTGGAAAACTGATGGTATCTGGGTAGCAAAGCTATACAAGGCAAACTAGTCTTCTTCCTCTTACCGTTACATTCATTCTTGAGTTATGTGCTTTACTTAGAAAACTATTCCAACTGCCAAAAGAAAGTCACACTCTCTTTTTGTACTTAGAAACATTTTTTTTTGGTCGAAAAGATATAGTTATATTATAGATAATCAAACAAGTACACGATAACTGTTAAAAGATGTATAAGAGGCATCGTTTGTACAAAACTAGAGATTGTTACCAGGTCTTCCGTACGGGAACCATTACTAGTACTAGAGTTAGAAGTAGCTAAAACACTACTATTAATAGTTGGTACAGTCCTAGGTAAAGCACTACTATTACACAAGATATTTGAACCAGAGAGTATATGTGTTGAAGTCCTAGAGTCAGTCTTAAATAGCCTTCTTTGTAATGTGCCCTTTTGATCTTGTTGATAAGAAGGCATAGCAAAATTTGGTGGTCTCCCAAAAAGTATGCATCGCTCCTGTACATGCATGGCTCCATATCTAGCTAAACTATCTGCAACACAATTTTGCTCTCTGTAGATATTTTGTAGAGGTGGACTATCCAGCTGTTGGAGTAATAACCTGCAATCACTAATAATATTAGTGTATTGCATTGTAGGTGAGTTAACCATAATGATTATTGCATGCGCAACTGTCTCAATAATGATTGATTTGAGATGTTGTTGTACAGTAATTTTCAGTCCCATGAAGTCCTAGACTTTCAACTATTAAAAGAGTTAAGACTTTCAACTATTAAAAGAGTTAGGCGAAAACATGTTAGTGGTGAGAAAGTACGAACGTAGGCTTACGGAACCAATATGATGAGTTTAATTTCTCTTCTTGGTTTGTAATTTAAGAAGGAGCTATTATCACTTTTAGCCCGTGTCATAAACTATTTATATTTGTTACTCGAAAAAGTATATAAAATTTGTATAATTTTTGTATATAACATAAAAAATGTAAATATATACAAAAAATATATAAATTTTCTATATTTTTCGATTATTAATTTTACAGCGGTTATATATTATCATTTCTCCTTTAAGATTTTACAAGAGTTAAGAGTGCTTTTAAAGGACTATTATTTTTTGCTAAGAAGAAATTCTAATATTTTCTTTTGGATTGAGTTAAGAGACAAGCAAATCTAGTTGCTCATTGCTTGGCAAAAGAGTCTAGAAATTATGTTACTCCTTATTGGGAGTATATTCTTAGTTTTATTGTAAACTTGCTGGTTGCTTATTCAGTCTAATAGAAAGTTTTTGAGTTTAAAAAAATAAATTAATTTGTCCGCACTTCGAACGATGATAAAGGAATAAAATAGGGAAACTTACATAAATGTCCCAAATAAAATCTTAAACTTACCAATTTCTAGCCATTAGTCATAGACTTACCAAAACTAGCCAACAAAAATTGAAAAACCAAATAATAGGGTTCTTTCTCTCAAAGAATCACATGCAAAAATCACCTTCCATATTTTTAAGCGTGATTAACAACATTAGATACAAGACGGAAAGGAAATTTCATGGACGGAGTAGCAAATAAGGTGATGAAATACAAAAATCTATACAATATTCCAAAAATCTAAACAAAAAAGGAACTTTTTCAATGGGTATAGTTGAAATTCATTGAAAATATATAAATAAGTCAATATACAAAATTTGAGGAAGATTGGAGGTGATTTGGATTAGTTTTGCATCAAAATTCGTAATTAAATCGAGTTCAAAAAAAGTCTTCTGCGACACATGTATCAAACATGAATCACGCATGTATCTCACACACAGGTATACATGGATATACATGTGATACACAATTGATACATATGTGATACACAAATGATACACAGTGTGATACATATATCATTTTTTTTCATGTTCAGCTTTTACTTCGAATTTTCAATTCAAACCACCTCAAAACTTCACCAAATCGTCCCAAAACTGAGATTCTGCTCCTTAAGTTGTGCCCAATCTATTCTAATAACACCCGCTCAAAACAAAGCAAAAATATGATATTTTTTGCTACAAATAGCTAATTGGCTAACTTGGCTAATATTAGTAATATTTTATCAATTGGCCAATTTTTGTAGTGAGCTACTTATAAATGGAAATAGCTGGTAATTTCCCAATAAAATATGACTAAATAATTATGATTATAATTTTTATTAAAAAATAATTTTTATTAATCAAATAAGTAAACAAAAAGATCGGAATACTATTTTTAAAGTGATGATATAGAGATAGCCTATGTAGCCAACAAAAGAACCAATTTTTATGCATAAAGTCCAACAGTTAGAAATTGAATACCACATATAACTGCAATAGAACAACACCCGGTACACTGATAAAAGAGAAAACCGGCCACTTTTTAAATATATTATTAGTAATTTTAAACTAATGATAACACCTTTATGAAACTTTAATACATAGTCTCGCCCCTAAACATTGGAAAAGACTCTTACTAAATAAACATTTCTCAATCCTTTTTTTTTGTTTGTCTGAATAAGGTTCATTTTGAAATATAAGATAAGAGGCGCGAATTGTATTAAATTAAAAATTAATTAGCTGAGATGAGACTTAGTTGACTCTTTTTTCCCGCAGAATAATATTACTCCCCCGGGTCCATAATAAGTGACTTTCTGGCCTTTTTATTTTGGTCCAAAATAAGTGTCTTTTTACAAAATCAAGAGAGAATTAATTTTATTTTTTCAAAATTTGCGCTTATTTACATATCCCAATGTGTCAAGGTGACAATTAATTAAGGGTAATTTAATGAAACATATTTTTTTCTCTAGGAGTTCATATTTTCTTAAGGGGTGTGCCAAAGGCTAAAAAGTCACTTATTATCTACTGGAGGAAGTAGAGAAGAAGACGATACAACAAATTAAAGCAATAAATGAGATCATGATTTTTATACTGGTTTGTGTTCCGATGTGATTGTATACGGTGAAATCAGGTACCCCCGATTTTGTGGGCTCGAAGGCTCATGTCGAGGAACATACTCACTATGGACCGAGTTCGAACCTGATGACGAAGCACGAGGCTCGAAGAACTAAATGTTCGAGGAACGTCGGAGCCTAATATGACCAGCCTCGAGATAATGCCGTTATGAATTTATAACAGAATGAGCTAGATTCCTGCCACGTCCCCAAGATCGCAGCGTAGATCTCGGAATAGATTTGTACGAATCCGTACTAGGCAGTTAGACAGCTGTCCCAATAAGATTCTTACTGTAAATAGAAATGTACCTTATTTAGGGTCCCCCTATTATATAAAGGGGACACCAATCATTTGTAAAGGACAATGTATCATTGACAAAGAATATACTCTCTTACATTTTCGCTCATTGTTCATCATAATTGTCCTTTAGCTTTATTATTCTTGCTTTACTGTTCTTGATTCATCTCGGGTCACTTTGGCTCGAGGTCGAGACTGACCTACAGTCTGGTTTGGTTTCACTTACTTCTTTCATTTATACTTCAGATTTTTTGGTTATTAATTAGTATTGAACTAAATCACGTATCTTTAAAACCATAAATCAAATTTAATTGTTATTCGTATTTTCGAGGTAAACAGTTTGGCGCCCACTGTGGGGCGAAAGATAATAGTGATAATTTCAGTACTGATTCTGATAACACACGTTATTTTCACACTTGTTCTTGTTAAGAA